AGCCTGTGTGTGTAGTAGCCTGTGTGTGTAGTAGCCTGTGTGTGTAGCCTCTGCACTGCTCTTCCTTGTCTCTTCAGTAGCTGCACGAGGGGATAAAGACCTCAGAGCGTTCTCTTCCTCCGGTCCCTGCTACCTGAGCGGAGATTGCCGAGGATGAAGAGTATGAATCATGGTTTTGTTTTAGCACCTTAGGCAGAATGGCATGAAAGGTCGGGAAGGTTGCCCATGGTTTGGGTATGAAGGGGCAAATAATCATATATTTTTCAGTAGTTTTTGTTTTCCTGGCTGAGATTTCCCCCCCATGTTTTCTAATAGTTGTCTTAAATTGATGGGAAAATCTGTTTAACTTGGAACTCTAAAGGTTTAATTAATTTGTATAAGAAAATAGAAGTTATAATCCAGATGTGGTGATAGATGCTTGTAACCTCAGCACTTGCGAGACAGAGGCAAGTGAATTGAGGATTTAAGTCATCTTGTATTATATAAAGAGCTCCAGGCCATTCTGGAATACCTCGTAGGACATCTCCCCGACAAAAAGGGAAAAAGCTCAGTTTTTAAAACTCTTCTTTTACTTTTTACCTGAGGGTCTGAGTTCGGATTCCCAGCTCATACTTAAAAAGCTGGGTGTTGCAGGGTGGTGTCAGCACACACCTTTGATCCCAGCACTGGAGAGGCAGAGACAAGTGGATTTCTGGTTTTTTTTTAGGCCAGCCTGGTCAATAGAGCAAGTTCTATGACAGTCAGGGCTACACACAGAGACCCTGTCTTGAAACCCCAAGCTGTAGATGTAGTGGCTTCTGTTTCTGTTGTAGACACCATGACCAAAACCAGCCTGGGGAGGAAAGGGTTTATTTCAGCTGGCAGGTAACAGTATCATAAAGGGAAGCTAGGACAGGAGCTCAGGGTAGGGACCTGGAGACAAACTGTGGAAGAATGATGATTAATAGATAGCTACAGCTCCAGCCCACCTGCCTAGAGGAGTACCTCCCACAGTTGACTGGACATTCCTACATCAGTGAGCAATTAAGAAAATGTCTCAGCAAAGAAGACTGCAGGCCTGTCTGGTCTGGTCACTTCTTCAAGTGAGACTTTGTATTCCCAGGTAGCTATAGGTTTGTGTCAAATTGACAGGTGAAGCTAACTATGACATTTCACTCCTTGACAAGAATGATTTTAAACTGACCTTTCTTGTCTCCAGTGATATTAATATGAAATGTAAAACTTTAAAAGACCCACAGTTTTTAGTAATTCTGATGCTTTAAAAATTCAATGGAAGCCGTGTTTAGTGGCCATACTTCCTGTCATTAATTTATGTTCTACTTTGCTTCTGTTGGCCAGAAGTGTGGGTTTGTTGCTGTGATGGATCTGACTAAGTTGGTTTGGTGTCAGGCTGCAGACAAACTTGGAACTTTGAGTTGAAAAAGCTGTGGAGTGTTTAGTACTGCATGAAAGCCAGGAAGATAAGAATGTTTAGAGAAATTCCAGGACAGATTTTAAGACAGAATGGAAGAGTGCTGTTTATTTACTCAGCTGCTTTGTATATGTGTATGTGATAAACTTTGTGGCTTTGGCTGGCCTGCAACTCTCTATATAGAGTAGACTGGCTTTAGACTCACAGAGAATCACCTGCTTGGAGTAAAGGTATATGCCACATCTGACTTAGCTACTTTTTTTGTGATGTTCAGGCCCACCTGCTTAGGGAGTAATGTTGTCTGAGGCTTCTGTCCTGCCTGGTTCCTGTAGTCGTTAAGTCCCAAAGAAATCACATAGAGGTCTACATTAATTATAAACTGATTTGCCTAGTATCTCAGGCTTATTAACTCTTATAACTTATATTAGCCCGTAATTCTTGTCTGTGTTAGCCATGTGGCTTGGTACCTTTCTCGGTGAGGCAGTTACATCTTGCTTCCTCTGTGTCTGAGTGAGGACTGCAGATTGACTTCCCTCTTCCCAGAATTCTCCGTGTCCCGCCTCTACTTTCTGCTAGGTTGTCCTGCCTATACTTCCTGCCTGGCTACTGACCAACCAATGTTTATTTCAAATACACGTGACAGGGTATAGACTATTGTCCCACAGCAGAGTAGCATTGCCCACAGTGGGCTAGCCTCTTCTACATTAATTATTAAGATGCTTCACAGATATTCTGATCTGGGCAATTCTTTATTTGAGGTTTCCTCTTTTCAGATGACCCTAAGTTTGTATCAGCTTGGTGGATGAAGTTTTTTTATGACAGTGGCATAGGCCTTTAATCTTAGGGATGGCCAGGCAGTCAGGCAAACCTCTGCAGCTCACTGACACTTGTATGATCTTGGGCACTATCATAGTTACTTTTCTCTTGCTGTGAGGAGACACCATGACGGAGACACCTTATAGAAAAAAAAGCTTATTGGAATCTTGTAGTCTCAGAGGGTTAGAGCTCACGAACATTATGGCAGTGCACATGGCAACAGGAAGACAAGCATGGTGATGGATCGATAGAACTAAGAGCTTACCTCTTGATCCACAAGGCAGAGAAAGTGAACTGGGAATGGCATGGACTTTTGATACATCCCTAATGATACACCTCCCCCAACAAGGCCAGACCTCTTAATCCTTCCCAAACAGTTCCACTGATTAGGTATCAAGCATTCAAATATATTAGTCCTTGGGACCCACTTTCATTTAAGTCACCACAGGCCAATTGCACAAACAAACACCAGACATGAAGTTTTCCATACACATGGGTATATATAAAAGAAAACCTTTAGTTGAGTGACCCTGTTTCACAAATATTGTAAAGAGTTACTAATGAAGACGCCCAATATTCATTGGCCTCTGTGTTTATGTAATGTGCACACACATGAACATACATACATATACCACCCTATGTATCTAAATGTCTTGGATTAGAATTATAACTGGTCCAAGTTGAGTGTGGCATGTACCTGTGATCTCAGCATTTGTGAGGTTAAAGCAGGATAATTGTGAGTTTGAGACCAGTGTGGGCTATATATCTTAGTCACTGTTCTGTTTCTGTGAAAGATACCATTACCAAGGCAACTCTTGTAAAGGAAAACATTTAATTGAGGGTTTGCTTGTAGTTTCAGAGGGTTAGTCCATTATTAGCACGGTGTCAGGCAAGGCACTGAAGCAGAAGCTGAGACCTACCTACATCCTGATCTGTAGATAGAGGGAGACACTGAACTTGGCTTGGGACTTTGAAATCTCAAAGCCCACTCCCAGTGATACACACTTTTCTGCTAATAAGACCACGTGTCCTTATCCTTTCAAATAGTGCCACTCACTGGTGACTAAGCATTAAATATATTTGCCTAAGGGGGGCCATTTTTTTAAAATATTTATTTATTTGTTATGTATACAATATTCTGTTTTTGTGTGTTTGCAGGCCAGAAGAGGGCACCAGACCCCATTACAGATGGTTGTGAGCCACCATGTGGTTGCTGGGAATTGAACTCAGGACCTTTGGAAGAGCAGGCAATGCTCTTAACCTCTGAGCCATCTCTCCAGCCCCCAGGGGGGCCATTTTTATTGACACTATCACACTATCTCAACAAAATTATCCACAATAGAAGTATATGCTAACATACCTACAGTTTGTACATTTGTTACTCGTCAGATATTTTAAAATTAAAGTTAAGACTTAGACTTTACCTGAAAAACCATTTCACTCTGTTTTTTTTTTTGGAGACAGTCTTACTGTGTATCCCTAGCAGATCTGGAATTTCTGTAGACCAGGCTGGCCTTTTAGTTCAAAGAGATCTGCTGATTGCTGGGATTAAAGGCATATGCCACCACTCCTGGCCTGACTTTGTTTGTTTAAGGTCACAAGGGGGAAGAAACCTGAAAGTGCAGTTAAATTACTTCTGTTCTACTGACAGTTGGATGAGTAGATACAGATTGGCTGGTAGTGATATAATAAAAATAACCTTCTCATTAAAGAAGGCAGTGCAAATTTATCTCCTGTCCTTCCAGTATCAGATTAGATGAAACCATGGGGTACTAAAAGGTGGGGAGAAAAATTTGTTTTCCATTATGTTCTCTTTTAAATTTCTTTGTGTGTTACAATTTGACAGGATACTTTCTTTACAGTTTCAAACTGAGCAACCCTTGGAAACTGAAGAATTCAGAACACATTTGTCGTTAAAACACCTGTGAAAGAATATTACCTATGTGAATTATATTTGCTTTTTAGAACCTCAGAAGGTTTGAATTCTAAAATACCTATCCTAAAGGTGTGGATAGGGTACCAGATCTAAAGTTAATTAGAAATGAAAAGTAAAGGAAGGATATAGTATATTTGAATCAAATAAATTTATGTGTATATATTATAGATGCATACACAAACACAAAACTTTCTGTTTTTAAGTACTGATAGCATTGTTTAATTTTCTTCTGCTAGGAAGAAAAAAGAGATAATAAGACAGAGGAGAGCATAAAGACAGATGAACCATCAAGTGAGGAGAGTGATCTAGGTGAGTACGTGGTAATATGTTTAGATAGCCTTGGTGACTCAATCCTGTGAGTGGTATTTTTGCTTAACAGTTTATTTTTGATGCAGCATCTCAGTTTATAGCCCAGGGTGATTTAAAACTGTGTGGAGGTGCACATGACCTTGAATTTGAGGCAATCCTCTTGTCACAGCCTCCTGCTAGGTACTGTTTTTATTTACTGGTTTGGTTGTAATACTGACCTGCAGACTTTTTCTTTTGTATTATAGAATTTGTCTACACTCGATTTTTAAAGTTAATTCTATTAAAATGAAATCATATTTTGTCATTAGCTCTATTTACTCTTCTATAATTTGTGCTGTCTGAATCAGTGCCTTTAAAAACATTGTGGTACATCTCTGGAAAATTTTTAGAGAAATTTGTTAATTTGCTGATGGGGAGGTTTTGTGGAGGTCAGAGGGCAACTCTTGGGAGTCAGTTTTCTCCTTCACTGTGTTGAGTTACAGGGAACGAACTCAAGTTCAGTTAGGCTTTAGCACAAGCACTCTATCCGCTGAGTAATCTCTGCCCCAAAGTCTTTCCCAAGTGAATTTTGGACACCAAGTCAGTGATGTGTGTTTATTTGCTACACCGTGTGCGTTACTATCATCACTACAAGAACAGTTCAAGTAGTAGTCTCTTTAAAGTCTTCATTTGATGTGTGCAGGTTTCTGCATGTTGTCTATGCACCATGTGCATACCTATTGCTCTCAGAAGCCAGAAGAGGACAGCAGATCCCGTGGAATCTGGAGTTAACGGATGATTGGGAGCCATTATGTGGGTGCTGGGAATTGAATTGGTGTCCTGAAAGAATAGCCAGTGTTCTTAACTATAGAGCCATCTGTTCAACCTACCCCTAAGTAGTAGGCTTCCCTACTAATAGTTACTAGTAGTTACTTTTAATTGGGAAATAGTTTATAATGTATCAGAGTTCAGGTGAAACTAGCTCATAGTTATACAAGCAAGTAGTTTTGTCTTTTTGAAATATTATTTATAATACCTATAACCTCCAACATACTAACAAGTACTTTACCCCTGTGCCACACCTAGATCAGTTCATATGGTATTAATAGTTTCATAAGTGATGACTATTAGGCTATCCCACACGTTTAGTTTAGATTTTAATTTTTGTGGGTTTTTTTCAACTTTTGCAGAAATTGACAATGAAGGTGTAATTGAGCCAGACACTGATGCCCCTCAAGAGATGGGAGATGAAAATGGAGAGGTAAGTTTAACGACTTAGCTTAGGAAAGTGAAGATCCCAAGTTTGTTGGTTATTTTATAACATGACTCTCGAGAACTGCATTGTAAGTCTTCGTTTGATTTACAATTTTGACACGGTTTTCAATCTTACTACGTAAAATATTTGCAGATTCTTATGGTATTTTTAATTATAATCTCTGAAATCTTATATTCTGTTTTTTTTTATAAGTTTACTTTGGTTTGATTAATCTTTAAAGTTGTTCCCTTAAAGTAGTATACTACAATTAGATTGCCATTTTCTGAGATTATATTCTTTTTTATTTTATGTGTATGATCATTTTGTCTGCAATTGTGTCTGTGTACCATGTGCACAGGGAAGCCAGGAAACCCTGGAATTTGAGTTACAGACTGTTACAGTTACAGTTGTGATCCATCATACGGGTACTGGAACTTGATCTGAGGTGCTCTGGAAAAGCTGCCAGTGTCCTTCATTGTTGAAACCCCTAGAATTATATTTGTTTTGTTTTTGTTTTTCAAGACAGAGTTTCTCTATCTAACAGCCCTAGCTGTCCTGGAACTTGTTTTGTAGACCAAACTGGCCTCGAACTCACAGAGATCTGTCTGCCTCTGCCTCTCGAGTGCTGGGATAAAAGACAATGCCCGGCTTAAAATTGTCTTTTGATGAAATATCTAGTGGCAGATTATTTTCCAATTGCTTTTGTCGCAAGGATCCCTTCCTTCAAGAGGTGAAAACTAGTACTTGGGAAGGAGGTGTGGAAAACACTTTGAAATTAACCATGGTCAGTGGCCTTCCAAAGGATGACAGTGTGTCTTAAAATGTCTCGTGATACCTGCTAAGGAAAGAAGTTTATAAGCAGTAATGAGGGGAATTTTCAGCACCTGGTCATCAGAGTCATCTTTGCTGTTCTTGTATGAAGCAGTCTATTGAGACTTTTTAGTGTATATTTTCCTGACTTCTAATAGATTTGAGCATATTCTGATCTGTTTTGGTCATTATGCATGTTCACAATCCTGTTTAGACCTTTTCCCAGTTTTTCTTTTACTTCTTCTTTTCTTATGTTTTTCCCTCCCCCCCTTTTTTATTTTTTATTTTTTTGGGGGGGGAACAGGGGCTCTTAGTTCAGGCTGACTTAGAAAATTTTGCCTTAATTCCCCAAATGCTCCAAATACAGGTCTTGCCACTGTACTGAATTTTATGAAATACTGGTGATGAAATTCAGGGCTTTATACATGCTAGACAAACACTCAGCCAACCTATATCTGAAGCCTTTCCTTCTGATTATTTATTTTTTTGCTTGTTTGTCTCATGTCGCCCAGACTGTCATCAAATAAAGTGTTCCCATAGCTTCAGTCTCCCAGTTAGTATTGTAGACGTGTATCACCATGCCCAACCCTAAAGCTTTGTGTTTTGTTGCTAATTTACTCAACAGAACCTTTATGGGAGTTTCTTTTCATCAGTGCTGCCATATTGTTTACTATGTGTGACCCTCTGGGGACTCTGCTGTTGTTCTACATGTGTGAATTCTTTTTTTTTTTGTACTAATGCCACATTTTCTTACACAACTGTGGAGTAAGTCTTGTTATCTGACAGGACAAAGACTTACAAAACTTGATGAATATTTTAGCTATTGTTGGTGTTGTTTCAAATAATTCAAAAGAATTAGATTGTCTATTTCTCCTGTCCCAACATAGGTTATTTTCATTACAGTTCCCTTCTCTTTCTACACACACACACACACACACACACACACACACACACACACACACACGAGGAGAAGAGAGCAATGGGGTAGGGAGATTTTATTTAGAGTTGCCTTAAATTTAAGACAAGTTGAGGAAAGAATACCTCTTACTATTGGTCATTTCATGAATGTAATATCTAATTTTAGGCTTTTAAAATGCCTTAAAATAGCTTTATTTAACATTTCTGCCCTCATGCAGCTTATTAAGTACTTGGAGTCCTCATTTACAAAAAAGAAACTTTTATTACTTGTGTGTACTGTTTATTGATGTTTGTATTAGTCTTTTTTCCTGTTAATACTTGGGATTCACTGAATTACCCTGTCATTCTAGGGTTAACATTCTTTAGTTCTAGAACATTTTATTTCAGATAGTCCTTCATCTTTCTACTCTTGTTCTGGAATTTTGATTAGATAGATATGTTAGTCTTTTTCCTGTCATCATTGAGTTATGAATAATGTGTTTACCCTTTTTCTTTACCTTTGAATCTGATTGTTTGGTTTATCTTTAACTCTTGTGCTGATTCTTTTTAAAGGTTTCTTGGTTATTTATGTCTCTGTAAGATAGAAATTTTAGGACTTATTTTGTTTTATTTTTGTGAGGTAAGTTCTTGCTATTTGGCCCATGCTGGTCCCAAACTCAGGAAAACCTCCTGGGGTGTTAAGATTGCCAGTTTGTACATTGTGCTTTGCTCCTATGTTGTATTTTGACCATAAATTCTTTGGAATTTTTCTTGTGACAGTTTTCAGGATCTGGGTAGATGGTTCTCCATCAAAGCTCGGAGTTGACACTGTCAACTAGCTTGGATCATTGTAATTCCCAGGATAGCTTTTTTTTTTACATTGGTAATACAGAATTCCAATGAAAAACTGCTTCATGGTTCTGAATTACTTCTTTTAAAATAAACATTTATTTATTTTATGTGTGTGTACTTGGAAGTCAGAATTATGGAAACCCTTTTACCATATGGGTCATTAGACTTGTCCAGCTAGGTGACTGGCACCTTTGCCTGCTGATATATCTCACCAGCCCAGTTACGGATTTTCAGGGTACTTTCCCCTCTCCATCTCTACTTGACTGTCCCTTGTGTGAAAGAGGTTTAGTTTTTGTTTACCATGTGCTTGTCAGTGTAGGCATTTCAAGCTTGAGATTTAATTGAAGACATGTTGGTTAATCCATCCACATTGTTCTTCATCTGACTATATACTTTGTGTGTCATATTGTGCATTTTTTTCAAAAACAAAATGTCAGGGTATCAGGTTTGACATTTGCTATGAGGGTGACTGTAGATTGAGTACTTGGCTGCCCTGAATTGCAGCCTTCTTTAGTCTTGCAGGGTTTTTGTTTTTTTTTAAATATTTCTGTACTCTTTAAGTGAAGACTGCTTGTTAGTTTTTAAAAAATTGTTAATTGTCTAACATTGCCCTGGGATTTTATAGGGCTTGCTGTTTAGTTATTTGAACTGTTTCTGACTTTGTTCTTAAAAAACATGTTTCCTGGTTTTTCAAAGGAGTTTAATAAATAAATTAGAAGTAGATCAAAATATTTCAGTGAATACATTGATATAATACAGATCTAAGAAATTTTATTTTCTCTTTAACACAAAGCCATTTTTTCAAACATGGCATGATAATTTCAGTACATATATAGTGTATACTGATCAAATCAGTAATTATCCTTTTTTATTTCCTCATAAAGACAGATCGAAGTATATCATATTCTTTGACCATAAGTATTCTCTCCCCCATCCCATTCCCTTCTAGAATACAGACTTGTAGGTCAGCATGCCATAGGCACACTTGGATATTCGTGCCTATTGCAGCACTGTCAAAATAGCCAAGTTAGGGACTTGATCTGTTGCCTGTCAGCCGGTGAGTTGGTTCTTCTATTGCTGTGAAAAGACACCATGGCAGCTTCAAATCCCCAGCAACACTCCTGCAACAAGGACACATCTACTCTAACGTGTCACACCTTCTAGACTTCTCAGTTTGTCATCAGCTGGGTCTAAGCATGCAAATAAATGGGCCTATGATGATCATGCACATTCAAGCTACCACATAGATAGAAAATAAGTGTGTATACATAGTGGGTTTTTACCAAACGAATGCAGTTATATTGGCTGTTAGAAAATAGGTTCATCTGGAGAACCTGTTAAGGGAAATATGTTAGACTCAGACAAATACCACATTTCTTTCATTTGTGTGTCCTGGGTTGCACATAGATACATAAAGTTATTTTTATATATGTGACATAAATTTTCTTTGAATTCTTTTTATTATTCTTTAATAGAATTCAACTTTTTCATGTTTGTGGAAGTCTTATGTGTCTTGGAAACTATGTTTTATAGGCTTGGTTTCTGTTTTGTACAATTTTTTGTGGTGTACACGAGCTCTGAAGTAGCTTTTGTTGTTTTTGCATTGTAAGGGTCTTTACTCAGTAAATAAGCTAGCCTTGAGGTTCTAGCAGTCCTCTACCTCCATCTCCTAAATGCTAAGATGACAGTGTGTCATCTCAAGGGGCTTGCTTGGTGTTTTTGTTTCTTGATTACAAATCAAGTAACTTGTCGCTTCTATTGAATTTTCTAGTTAGATATAAAGATAGCTTTCTTTTCTGTTCTTAGACAAAGCAAATTACTTCCATCAACACCAAGACAGGTTCTCACGTAGCTCTTAAGTGTAGACCAGGTTGGCCTTGACCTCAGATTCTCCTGCTTTTGCCTCTTGAGTACTGGAATTAAAGCTGAACTTTTAATGCTTGGCATAGGTCATTTTCGCACAGCAGAGTCGATAAGATGGATGTGGTTACAGTTACCGCCAAACATTCAACTTTAGATAGGCTATTCAGCGTATGTTTTTGTAAGTCATTGTGTTGTCATCATTGTTCTTGGTTTTTGTCCTCATAGCTGTCCTCATAGGCACTCACAGGATTTTTATGGGACTAAAGTAATAAGACCTGTGTCTTCTATGATTGTACTGTGAAAGGCAGTAGTTCACTTTTTTTTTCTTTTTCTTCCCCGAGACAGGGTTTCTCTGTAGCTTTGGAGCCTGTCCTGGAACTAGCTCTTGTAGACCAGGCTGGCCTCAACTCACAGAGATCCGCCTGCCTCTGCCTCCTGAGTGCTAGGATTAAAGGCGTGCGCCACCATCGCCTGGCCAGTAGTTCACTTTTTATAGAGACTGGAAGAGGAAAGACAATTGGAAGGAAGCAATTGAACAAAAGTCCTACCTAAAGCAGAATGTGAAACATTTGTATAAAAGGTTTATACTCTATAGTTTTTCACTACTAGAGGTGAATGCATGAATGTGTGGGTCGTGACTGTCATTCACATTGCTCTCTTCTCATGCTTACATCACTACTTCTGAAATAACCTTCAATTTTCTGTTAGATAACTGAGGAGATGATGGATCAAGCAAATGAAAAGAAGGGGGCTGCCATTGAAGCCCTAAATGATGGTGAGTAGTGTGTTCTTTTTGTGCTTCTTTAAGAATGGGAATTTTTTTTTTTTACCTCAGTGACTGTTAATAGTGTAAACATGAAAGGATTGAATTTTTTATCTTACCATCCTGAAGATGTTAAGACGAACCACTCTCTTCCTCATGGCAAAGAGTTTAGAATCATCCAGCATTGGTTACATTACTTAGCATAGACAGATTTGACTTAGCCTCTGTTTAGTTTAGGTTCTTGTTGGCTTTCTTATTCTTTGTATTGTACAGTTGCTTTAGTGTTTTGAAGTTTTGATTGATATTTTTGGCCTTTATTAGAACTGCCTTTTTTATTTTATTGAGAGAGTCATACTATGTAGTTCTAGCTGTCTTGGAAGTCCCTATGGAGACTACGCTTGCCTGGAACTCACAGAGATCCACCTGCCTATGCCTCCCAAGTGCTGGGATTAAATTTGTGTGACACCTTTACACCCAAGAACTATTGGTTACTACTGTTTTGCCTGGGGGCCAGTACATTTGAAGATAGAGACAAGTAATGATAACAGTGAATAAAGGTTAATGTCTTAATGGTTTTGATGTCTCTATTTTTGTGAGTTCAAGTAGTACTCTGGTTTTCTTCTCAGTCCTGTGTATTAGTTTGGGCAGTTTAAGCTTAATTTATCCTTCTAACAAGTGAAACTAAGATGACTAACATAAAATTACTTTTTTTCCTTTTTTTTTTTTTTTTTTTTTAAGACAGGGTTTCTTTAATAGTCCTGGAACTCTCTTTGTAAACCATGCTAGTAGCCTTGAACTCATAGAGATTCTCCTGCTTCTACCTCCTGGGTGCTGGGGTTTAAGGAGTGTGCCCACTACCCTTGGCAGTGGGTTTTTAGAAGCTTGATTTCTTATGTGTATGTTTTGCTTGCATGTATGTGTGTGTACCACAGGTGTGCCTGGTGCCCTCAGAGGTCAGAACAGGACATTAAATCCCCTGGAGCTAGAGTTAGAAATGGTTGTAGGTGTTGGGAACCAAACCTGGGTCTTCTGCAAGAGCAATAAGTTTCCTGACTATTGTTCTTGCTCCCCATTTATTTATTTTTTTGCTTGGGGTTGGGATACTCATGCACAGTGCATGTGTAGAGGTCAGAGCACAGATTTCAGAAGTTCATTCTGTGCTTCTACCGTGTGGGTCTTTTCTTTTGAGACAGTCTCCCTACAGTCCAAGTTTCCTGGGACTAATTTATGTAGCCTAGGCTTACCTTCAGTTTACAATCCTTTGACTTCTGCTTCTTGGGTGCTGGAGTTTACAAATGTGCATCTTTTTGCTTTGTCTTTTTTCCTTTAAAATTTTTTGTTTGTTGTTTTGTTTTTCAAGACTGAGTTTCTCTGTGTAACATCCTGGGCTATCCTGGAGCTTCCTCTGTAAACCAAGCTGGCCTCTCAAGTGCTGGGTTAAAGACGTTTGCCACCACAGCAGACTCTTTTAAATATTTTTAAAATTATTTTATTATTTTATGTGTATAGGTGTCCTGGTGCCCTAGGAGTCCAGAAGAAGCCATTAGATCTCCTGTAGCTTGTATTATAGATGGTTGGTTGTGAACTGATACATGAGTGTTGGAAACTAGACCTGGATCCTCTGGAATAGCAGTCAGTGTTCTTAACCACGGAGGCATCTCTCTAGCCCGTTATTTAAAAAATGTTACGGTACTGGCTGCTCAACACATACTTCATGCTTGTTGAAAACTACATGTCACTGAACTATGTCTCCCATTTCTAGTAGTCTTTCTCTTTTTTAAAAAAAAAATAGACTGAGAAGGTTGGAGAGATGGTTCAGAGGTTAAGAGCACTGACTGCTCTTTCAGAGGTCTTGAGTTCAATTCCCACCAACCACATGGTGACTCACAACCATCTCTAATGAGATCTGGTGCCCTTTTCTGGCTTGCAGACATACATGCAGGCAGAACACTGCATACATAATAAATAAGTAAATAAATATTTAATAAAATAGACTGAGAAAAGGATGTATAATTCTTAATCAGATTAAAAAGTCAAAGTATTTTATTAATATTTTTGTCCTTTGGATATTTCTTAGTAAGTATTGTTTCACTTCAGGTGAGCTGCAGAAAGCAATTGACTTATTCACTGATGCCATCAAACTAAATCCTCGCTTGGCTATTCTGTATGCCAAGAGAGCCAGGTAAGATCACTTAAGTACAAAAGTATCTTTTACATACTTCTTATCCTTCTTTAAGTAATTTTGATTCTGTAGAAATTCCAAAGGTTTTATTGTTTGAAGTGAAGTTTTTCTTAATATATCTTGGTTTTTTTAGTGTGTTCGTCAAATTACAGAAGCCAAATGCTGCTATCCGAGACTGTGACAGAGCCATTGAAATAAACCCTGATTCAGCTCAGCCATACAAGTGGCGAGGGAAAGCACACAGGTAAAAGAGCAAATAGGGCTGGGGAAATGGCTTAACTGTTAACGGTGCTTGGAGGACTGAGTTTGACCCATAGGTAGTAGTGGTGCACACCTGTTGTCATCTTCTATTCATACCTGAACTATATCAGCCTCTCAGTGCACCTGAGAGTCACTGAACTTCCCAAGGAAACAAACACTTGTGAAACACTTAAGTTTTACCACTAGAAATAATTACCAAACTGGGTGAAAATGCCTTTTATTCAGATTCTTTTATAGGTTCCAGTAATGAATAAAGAAGTTTCAGGCTAGAATATTCAATATACGATCATTATCTCTCTTGGATTTTGTTGTTGTTTTTTAAGACAGGGTTTCTCTTAGTAACAGTGCTGGCTGTTCTGGAACTCACTTTGTAGACCAAGTTCACCTCAAACTTTCAGAGATCTGCTTGCCTCCTCCAGGTGCTGGGATTAGAGGTGTGGGCAACTGCTGCCTGGAAAGAATGGATGTTCTTTGCACAAATGTATTAAATGACTCACAGTAGTGTGCCCCGCGCTCGGCCTCGCCAGCAAGAACGACGCGGGACACTTAGGATTCTTCTGCAGTAAAGCTTTATGTGTCTTGAGAGGGAGAGCATAAGCTTACATGGCGGAGACCCAGAATGAGGGGAACCCAGCCCTTATAAAGGAAACAGTCCTCGCTTCTGACGTGTCACTCTTGGATTGGTCCGCTGCCCATTATCCCAGATGATGCCTCGGGAGTAGGCAGGGACGCAGCGGTAGAGAGTTACCAAGCACGTGCGCTGGGATTAAAGGCGTGTGCTACATCACCTTGAACTCACAGAAATCTGCCTGTCTCTGCTTCCCAGGCATAGGGGCCAAAGGCGTGTACTACCACGCCTTGAGGTCACAGAGGTCAATCTGCCTCTGCCGCCCAGGCATCAGGACTAAAGGCGTGTACCGCCACACCTTGGGGTCACAGAGGTCAATCTCTACCTTTGTTCCTAGAAGCAATGGAGAATGTGGTCCGGCCCTCCACATTAGTGACTTTGAAGGCACTTCTCAAAGAGAAAGGTTGAAATGAATGTATCAGTGCTGAGTAGGTGGAGGAGACACTCAACATGTTGGTATCTTGGAAATCGGCCACTAGTTCTCAGGTGGTGATCTGCTGTCTAATACGGGCATGATCTCATCTTGTACCTGGCTGGTTACAGATTTAGAATAAACCTAAGAGAGAATAGTTCAATTTATTTTCATGGGCTCTAAAACCTGTGTGGTAGGGTGGGTGTACTTACTGCTTCTGTTACTGTCACTTCAGTGACACAACCAAGAAAAAGCATCTTTAGAAATTCATGATTTGAATGAAGAATGTTTAAATTGCATTTATGCTGAAATTTTCAATTATAAATTGAATGTTTGCCATTTAAGTCTTTGTCCCTATGTAATTTTGTAAACCTACCATATATGTAACAGTGTTTCATAATTATTACCTTAACACAGCATACCCTCCAAGTAAGTTGTAAAGTTTTTCTTGACAGTTAGGATTGTTCTTAAGAATATAGCCCATTCAAAATATGTGGCTAAAACAAAATATTTTGAAAGATAATTTTAGGTTTGGGGGGATGTTGTTAAATGTAATATTCACATTTCTGTTTATATTTGGGTTTAGGGTTTGCTTTATCATTTTTTATTACATATATCTTGAGGGAATATTTCATGTCATGATGTATGCGTTCTCCACTTCATTTTTTTTTTTAAAGAAAGATTTATATATACAGTATTCAACCTGCATACCAGAAGAGGGCACCAGATCTCACTATAGATGGTTGTGAGCCACCATGTGGTTGCTGGGAATTGAACTCGGGACCTCTGGAAGAGCAGCCAGTGCTCTTAACCTCTGAGCCATCTCTCCAGCCCCCTCCACTTCATTTTCAACTGCCTCTCCACCCCAAGTCTTTTAGTTCTGAGTCTTAGTTTGAGTTGTTTTCTCAATAAAGCAAACCCATGGGCATGGCTTTCCCTTCAGTCCTACAAAGAAAATATCATGTAAAATGTCTTTGATGTTAAAAAAATTACTGCTTTACCTCCTCCTTTTAAATATTTTAGAATTATCATTGTGGAAATTTCAGTTTGATCAAGTTTTTAGAAAGTTACCCATCACAGTTCTTAAATTGGCCGATTAAAAATTTGTAATTTATAATTAACTGGAAACTTTCTGATATTCTGCTTTTTGTAAGTAGCTCTTTCAGTGATTTTTTTTTTTTTTAATCTATTTCAGACTCTTGGGTCACTGGGAAGAAGCAGCTCATGATCTAGCCCTTGCCTGTAAACTGGATTATGACGAGGATGCCAGTGCAATGCTAAAAGAGGTTCAACCTCGGGTATGTCAGAATGTCCTTAAGATTTCATGGCTTTGTACTTGGCCTGGACACAGGTGGTGAAAAATGGAGCGGTAAAGGCACTGACCATGTGCTCCACTTGGAAACTCATTAGTATGTCATGCTTCCAATTTGGACACCATCATCTTTTCTACAAGACTTCAGTGGAGTGATACGCAAAGTTAGAAAAGTGATGCATACACTTGGGAGGCAGAAGTGGGCAGATCTCTGAGTCATGGCTATATAGAGAGACCATGTTTAAAGAAAGG